AAATAAATAAATAAATAAATAAATAAATAAATAAATAAAGTTAAAATAATTCTTCTAAAAAAATTCTTCAGTTGGATTCATTGCTAATATTCACCAAATTCTTTAATTTTGCCCAACTTTAGATTTTCTTCTTCTTCTTCTTTTAATTGCCACAGGGCACATGTGCTCACCAGAGTGAGAACCCCACAGTGAGGTGTGGTCATATCACAATCCTTTCCCCCATTTCTCCCTCCTATCAGGATTTAGGGCATGTACACACATATGCCCAGAGTGTTTTACTTTTCTTTCTTTCTTTTTCTTTTTTTTAGGTTTTTGTCATAGGGCACAAGTAAGTGCTCACTGGAGAGAAGAGAGACAGATTCAGAGAGAGGGCAAGTGAGCAATCACAGGGATGGCCATGCTTCAGTCCCTTCTCCTCCCTTCTCCCTTTTCCTCTCAGGATTTTGGGCATGCACACACACGTGCCTGGTGTGATTTTCTAGCCACCAGGTCCAAGACTTGAACTACTGGATGGCCATGTAGGAGTCCAGCACCTTAACCACTACGCCAGCTGCTGGCCCCAACCCACAGTGCTTTTCAGTCCTCCAAGGCTGGGATTTGCATTGCAGTTAGCCAGGTTAAATCCAGCTTCCTAATGCACACTGTTTAACTGCGATACTACAGGGCTGGCCCTTAGATTTTATTCTTAGTTTAAATATATTTTAATTATAGGTATTTTAATATCTACATTATGTTATGTTCGATTCATGTGTAGTTCCAATATTTAGGAATATTCATATGTAGTAGTTTAATTTATAAGTTGAGTTTTATGTCATATCATTAATTTCTATATCTGTTCAGTTAATATCTATTCATTTTTTAAATTGTTTTTAAATTATTTACTTTTATTTTATTTGTTATTATTATTACTATTATTATTATTAATTTGACCAAAGAAAGGCAGAGAGAGAGAAAGGGAAAGTGAGAAAGCACGCTGCCAGGTCTGGAATTTGAACCATGGCTGGCCATGTGGGAGTCTAGCACCTTAACCACTGCCCCACCTGCTGGTCCCAATATTTATTCATTTTTTATGATGCAGAGTGACAGTGTTTCCATTTCCTTCCCAGCTTTTTTTTTTTTTTCATTTCCTATCTGTTTATCTTCTGTCTCAGTCTATCCTGAAGTTTTATTTCCAACTGATTATCTCTGTATGGTTAAATATCCTCTATTCTGTTTGGGGACCAGCAGATGGCTTAATGATTACATCGCTAGACTCCCATCGTAGTTGCCCATGGTTTGAGTCCTGGACCCAGTGATGAAAACTCATGCTGGGTGCATGTACATGTGTGCCCAAGATCCTGAGAGGAGAATGGAGAAGGGATTGTGACATGACATCCCCCTTGCAGGGTAATTTCTTACTTTCTGTCTCTCTGGCAAGTGCACGTGCCCTATAGCAAAAATATCTCTCTCTCTCAAAAAAAAACAAAAAAAACCCCAAAAAACCTTATATTCTGTTTCTATTTTTTTTTCAGCTTTAAGGAATGTTCTTGACTCTCACGGGTGGCACAAGCAAGGAACTCACTCTAATCTGTGCCCTAAACCCCACTTCCTCTTAGTCTGTGTTAATATACAATGTATGCTAATATAAGATAAAAACGTTTAGTGCTTACCATCATTTTTTAAAGAATTATTTTAATTTTATTTATTTTTATTACATATATTTTTTAAATTTGACCAGACAGAGGAAGGTGAGAAAGCAAGCTGCCACGCCCAGGACTTAAACCTCGGCTGACCATGTCCAGCACCCCAACCACTATGCCACCTGCTGGCTCCCAACATAGATTCTTTTTCTGTGGTTTCCTTAGCCAAGTTTGTTCTCTGAGAGTTTCCTCAGGCATGGGCTTGTGAGGAAAATAGTCTTGTATGTTTAAAAACAAGTTTTTCAGTTTCGCAGTTTCAGGAGGTTTTGTCAGGAGAATTTTTTTGTTGGTGTTTTCTGAGATCTGCTGTCTCTAGGCTGTTCCGCTCTCCTCTCCTGGTTTCTGTTGGACATCTCCCCTGTGTCTTCTGTTTGATTTACCCCACAACCCCCCATGGCCCTATAGCTCTTGTTATATATGGAGCTTATGGCTGTAGCGCTGGGAACTAACTCGTTATCTGCAGTGATTTCTTTCTTTTTTTTTTTTTTTTTTTAAGAGAGTTTTGCTGTAGGGTGTGTGTACTCACTTGAGAGACAGAGAGACAGAAAGTAAGAAATTACCCCCCTGGTGGGATGGCCATACCTCAATCCTTTCTCCTCCTCTTGGGATTCTGGGCATGCATGCACACACACCTGCTGTGAGCTTTAAGCTGTTGGGTCGGGGACTCCAACCACATAGTCAACTACATAGGAGTTCAGTGATGTAACCATTATGCTATCTGCTGGTCCCCTACAGTGACTGTGTTTTGCTGGTGTAGTCTAAGACCTGCCAAACAGTTTCATTAATTAACCTGAATTGTTTTTTGTCTTTGTTTTTTGAGTGTTTTTTGCCTTAGGATGTGTGCATTGGCTAGAGAGAAAGAGAGACAGACATGGTGATAGGGAAAGTGAGAAATCACCACTTAAGGGACGGATGACCATGCTTCATTCCCTTCTTCTTCATTCACCTCCCAAGATCTTGGGCACACAAACCCATGTTCCTGGCATGATTTTCAAGCCACCATGTCCAGGACTTGAACCACCGTTGGCCATGTGGGAGTCCAGTGATGTAACCACTCTGCCATCTCCTGGCTCCTGTTTTTGTTTTTAAAGAATTATTTTATTTAACTTTACTCATCATCATCCTCTCTCTCTCTCTCTCTCTCTTTTCTTTTTTTTTTTTTTCTTAATTTGACCAGAGAGAGGGAAAGTGAGAAAGCAAACCTCCAGATCAAGCCTCAAACCATGGTCGGCTATATGGGAGTCCAGTGTACCTTAATCACCATGCCTCCTGCTGGCCCATTTTTGTATTTTGTTTTGTTTTTATTTTGTTTTGGGTTTCTGCTGTAAGGCGTGTGCACTCACAGGAGAGAGTCAGAGAGAGAGAAATCGAGAAATTACCCCAGAGGGTATGGCCATGCTGCAATCCCTTCTTCTCCATTCTCCTCCTGGGATTTTGGGCACACATACACACACACACACACACACACACGCACACACACACACACACACACTCAGCATGACATTAAAGCCACTGGGTCTGGGACTCGAACTATGATTGGCCATGTGGAAGTCCAACATTGTAACCACCAAGCCACCCACTGGTCCAAACTCCTGAGCTGCTTTAGTATTCCCCCTGTTCACTTTTGTTTCTTCTCAACCTCTCAGTATTTGCTGCTGGCAGCTCTTTTTTTTTTTTTTTTTAAGAAAACATTATTGTATTTAAAATTTTTTATTTCTTCTGAAAAAGAGAGATGACAGGAGAAAGAGAGAGAGAAACAGCCACTTCCAGTAGGGTCTTTACAGCATGGGACACCCCTAGCCTCAGCCAGCCTACACTGGGCCCGTGTGCACTCAAGTGTACTCAGGGAGGTCTCTGGATGCAAACTCGGGACCGCCTCTGTGAGTCTGGCGCTGCGTGACGGCTGTGCCGTGGCTGTAGCCCTCCCACCTTTTTGTTTGTTTGTTTGTTGAGATCATAGACTGTTTGCCTCCATGTTCTCTAACGATGGAGTTTGCTTTCTCTGTTTGCTCATTGGCTCTATTGGTTTTGATGACATCCAGGAAGAAAAGAGGCAAATACTATTTTATGCCGCTCTGTTGAGACAGTCTTTTAATGACACTTAAATAGGTGGCTTGACAGCACAGCAGCAAAGACAATGGCATCTGCAGCGAGAAACACAGCTGGCTTCCACTCTAAACTCTGCTAATGGATGAGTCGCATACCTTCTTTGACCTCATTGTTTGGCTTCTTATTTTTATTATTTTATTTATTTTTGCTAAAAGGTACATGTGCTTGCCAGAAAGAGAGAGAGGGAGAGGAGAGAGCGCCCCACAGTGGGGAATGGTCACACAGCAATCCCTCTCTCCATCTCTCTCTCCTTTCAGGGTTTTGGGCGTGTGCGCGCGCACACACACACACACACCGGGTGTGTTTCTCAGGCCACTGGGTCTAGGACTTGAACTGCACCATTGGCCGTGTGGGATGCTGCTGCTTTTACCAGGCCATGGAGCCAGCCCCAACTATCACTGTTCTTATCGTTAAAAAGGAGATAACTCTCTTAACATATTTCACATCATTATCAGGGGAAAGTGAGGTCATAAAATGATATGTAAAGCCTAGCAAGGTACTTCACAAACGGTAAGTGTGCAAAAGGGTAACATGAAATGTGTCATCGGGTTCTTAGCACAGGTGCCACTCAGCCCTTCCTGCCTGGATGACATCGTGTTGTTACCACCCATGCAGTGTAACTGGCGGACGCCGTCATTAAGGCCATTACTGGGATACCCTTCGCCCTCTCCCACCTCACCGTCACGTTACCCAGGGCAGTTAGTGCCACGAGAGGGCAGACCGATCACTCTGGGAGCCCTGGGGTGAGGACACTGGCCTCCAAATGGCAGGGGGAAGGGGCGAGCAGGGTCTTCTTGGAAAGAACGGGCTTTCTTCAGTGAGAGGTAGGAAGGGTCAGAGCTGGACCTGGATGCTGCATATTCCCTGGCGCAGATTCTGGGGTCAGAGATGAGGGTGGGCAGGTGTGAGGCTGTGGGACTTGGCTGTACGTCTTTGTCTCCCAACCCCCAGGAGGCCCGAGAAACCAGGTGGCAGGATTGTCATCAGAGCAGCTCTGAACGCCGTCAGAGGAGGCTGAGATGCCAGACTGGGAAGAGACCCTGATGCACAAGGACCTGAGTCCTTGCTTTTATCCCTGCTTTGCTCAGGTCCTGGAGCCCCAGGCAGCCACGGCTGCAACTGCGCCGGCCAGCAGCAGCTCTGGGAGTCGAGGGAGCACCGAGCCTATGGATACAGAGACCCCGGAAGATAGGAGAACATCCGCTCCCCAGAGAACTGGCGACAAGACTATGCAGGCCGATGGGAAGATGCAGTTGGATGGGAGGGTCCAGGGGGACAGGACGGAAACGACCCAGAGGACACAGACAGATGGGAAGACACAGGTGGACGTTGCGACTCCAGAAAGTGAGACGCCACAGTCAGACAGGAGTTGGCAGAAGGATGTGAAGACACAGGCAGAAAGGATGCAGGCAGAGGAGACACAGGAAGACAGGAAGCCACAGACAGATGCGAGGACACGGGAGGGCAGAAGGGTACAGGAAGCGGAGGGGATGCAGTTGGCGGGGAGCATAGCCACGGTCACGGAAGGTCAGTCAGAGCAGGAGTCTGCAGCCAGCCTCAGCCCACGGTGCAGAGCCCCTGAACCCCCTCCTTCTGAGGGTCCTCAGGCTCCCCAGGTTGGCGAATATTTTGCACAGACCCCTGCAGGGTCTCATGTCCCAGAAACACCTGGTCTCAGGCTTAGATCTGAGGAGGCAACATCCACAAATCTTGAGGAAACTGGGCTGGGTCCCCCGTCAGGGAATCTGCCACCTCGTACAGGGAGCTCAGAGCAGTTGGAAAGAGAGAGTTCCGGCCCAACCAGAGCCAAGCTGGAGGACAGCCTGTTCCAGCACCCTAGGGACAAGCAGCAGGGGGAAGCACTGGGTGTGGAGTTGGGTATCTGTCCTCCAGCTGGCCTGAGCCAGGAGGTACCTGCTTCCTCTCCTCTTCCTGGGACTGGCCCACAGGAGCTGCCCGGCACCCCACTTTCACAGCACAGGAACATGGCTGCCTTCCCACCCCCTGGGGACCAGGCCTTGCTGAGTTCTGCCCCCACGCTGCTCCCAGGCCTAGGGACCCCCACTCAGAGTCACCCACCAGAAACCATGGCCACCAGCAGTGAAGGGGCCTGTGCTCAGGGGCCAGATGTGGAGGGGAAGACTCCAGGTCCCCGGAGTTGTGACCCTGGCCTCATAGATTCCCTGAAAAACTACCTGCTTCTGCTGCTGAAGCTCTCGAGCCCGGAGACAAGTGGGGCGGGGGCAGAGTCCCCGGCTGGGTCTCTGGGGCCTTCGCCTGCCCTGGTTCCCACCGTGGAAGTGGCTGGGCTGAGTCCCCGGACGTCCAGGCGCATCCTGGAGCGTGTGGAGAATGATGACCTGGTGCAGAGTGCTCAGAGCCTACTGCTCAGCCCCTGCACCTCCCGCCGCCTCACCGGCCTCTTGGACCGTGAGGTGCAGGCTGGCCGGCAGGCCCTGGCCGCCACCCGGGGCTCCTGGGGCCCTGGCCCCAGCCCGCTCACTGTCCCTGCCATCGTGGTTGGTGAGGAGGGCCCCGTGTTACCCTCTGAAGGATCCAGTGAGGGTCAGGGAGAGGTTCCCATTGAGGAGCCCAGCCTCCTGGGGACCACTCCCGAGAGCAGCACAGGCAGGCCGCTGGGGCAAGCAGGTGGGCAGGCAGCCCACAGCAGAGCTCAGGAACCCTTGCCAGAGGAGGAGGGCCCAGGGGAGGCTACCACAGGTCTCCCTGCAGCCACTCCTGAGGAGCTGGCTCTGGGGGCCCGCAGGAAGAGATTTCTCCCTAAGGTCAGAGCAGCAGGAGATAGGGAGACGACCAAGCCTGAAGAGGGAGATAGCCCCACAGTGTCCCCCCGGGGGCCCAGGAAGAGCCTGTCACCTGGGTCCCCGGGATCTCTGAGGAGGGAGAGACGCTCCCCTACCCAAGGTAGAAAGGCAAGCATGTTGGAGGTACCCCGGGCAGAGGAGGAGCCGGTGGGAGACCTGGGCCCCAGCCCCAAGGCCGAAGGCCCAGACGCCGAGCTGGTCCCGGATGAAAGCAAGCAGGAAGCTTTGACCACGCCCAAGAAGGCCAAAGACCTGCTGAAAGGTGAGCGGTGGGTATGGAGGGATGGCCGGAGAGCAGAGGCTGCTGTAAACAGCACCCCTGGCTGGGAGCAGTCATCCCTACAAGGGTGGTATTTCTTTTTTTTTTTTAATTTTCCAGAGTGCACATCACACACTGGAAAGAGAAAGAAAGTGAGAACTGACCCCCCGGGGGATGGCCATGCCACACTCCCTTCTACTTCACTCTCCTCTCAGGATTTTGGGCATGCATGCACACCTACCTGGCATTTGATTCTTTTTCTCTTTTTTAAGAAGTTTTTGCTTTAGGGCGTGTGCACATACAGAAGAGAGAGAGAGACATGATGAGAGGGAGTGAGAAATCACCCTCCAGAGGGGATGGCCACACCACAATCCCTTCTCCTCTCTTTTCCTGGGATCTTGGACGCACACGCACACGCACACCCAGCTTGATTTTCAAGCCACCAAGTCCAGAGCTCAAACCGTCGTCAGCCATGTGGGAGTCCAGCAACGTAACCACCATGTCATCTGCTGGCCCAACCTAGCGTGTTTTTTAAGCCGTTGGTTCTGGAACTTGAACCACGCCGTCAGCCATGGGGGATCCAACTGCTTTAATCTCCATGCCACTGGCTGGCCTATGGGGTGGTATTCTTATTTCATCATCCATGTCACAGGCTTTAGAATGAGAGGAGCGCGGGTCTTGCCTTGCTCTGCTGCTCTGTAAAATGGGTATGATAACACTGTCAGTGTAACCTTGCGAGAGTTAAATGGGACAGGATGAGTCCAGTACTCAGCATGGGCGTGGCTTCCATAGCGTTCTAGCGTTCATCATCCTTGCCATCATTCCCTCTTTCTTTTTAATACTTTTTTGATATACATTTAAAAATTTTATTTATTATTATTATTATTATTTTAATTCACCAGAGAGAGATGCAGAGAGGAAGAGTGAGAAAGCAAGCCATCAGGTCCAGGACTCGAACCGTAGTCAGCCATGTGTGAGTCCAGTGCCTCAACCACCATGCCCCCTGCTGGTCCTACCGTGAGAGCAGTCCAGGCAGAGTTCAAATGCAGGCTTCTTTTTTTTTTTGGAGAGGGTTTTTATTTTTTTCTATAGGGCACGTGCTCTCGCCAGACAGAGACAGAGAGATAGAAAGCGAGAAATCACCCCCCAGGGGGGATGGTCACGCTGCAATCCCTTCTCCTCCATTCTCCTCTCGGAATCTTGGGCATGCACGCACACGCACCTGGCGTGAGTTTAAGTCGCCGGGTCTGGGACTTGAACTATGGTCAACTACGTGAGAGTCCACCGACATAGCCATTACACTGATTGCTGGTCCCCGAATGTAGGCTTCTAAAGTTAGGAGCCAAGAATGCAAACAAGTTCCTTTCTTGACTGCTGTTTGATGTGAGCTATGAAGACCCTCTGGCTTGGGGGTGGGGATGGAGATGTGAGATTTTTTTCTAGCAAAAGTGTGTTTCCAAGATGAAGACCGAGATGCAGGTGGGAGGCAGCTGGTGGCCATGAAGTGGGGAGTTGGGGAGATTTAGATCTGTCTCTGTCAGCCAAGGGCACCCAGGGAAGCAAGCCTACACCCAGAGAAGACACAGATTTGGGGAAGTAGCTTCCCCCTCTCACCTAGGCCTCTGTTCGCAGCCCCACAGGTGATCCGGAAGATTCGAGTGGAGCAGTTTCCTGATGCCTCGGGCAGCCTGAAGCTCTGGTGCCAGTTTTTCAACATTCTTAGTGACTCAGTCCTGACGTGGGCCAAGGATCAGCGCCCGGTGGGCGAGGTGGGCAGGAGGTAAGCTGACTGGGTACCTCCTGCACCTTGCCTGGCTCCCCGATGACAGTGCGGTGCTGGGCATTGTCCAGACACTGTGTGTCTGTCATCCCATCTCATCCTCACAGTCGCCCTCAGAGGGAGACTCTGTGATCCCCGAAGTAGAGATGAGAAACTTGAGGCTCCGAGGTCTTTGAGTCACTTGTGCTCAGTCCCACCTCTAGTAAGTGTGAGGGCTGCAAACCCGGCCTGTGTGGCCCAGGACCGGCTCCTGACCACCGTACCTCTTTCACCACCTCCCCAGAGCTCTCAGAGCCTGGGTCCACAGCAGCTTCTGAGAGTGGGTCCGAGGACCCCTCCGACCACAGTCTGGCCCTGAGCCACGGTGACGGCCCTCACGAGAAGGTCTCCACTCTCTGCAGTGCCGGGGACGAGGGGCCGGCTGCCCTGGCCATCGTGCAGGCATCTGCTGTAGACTGCGGCGTGTACCGATGCACCATCCACAACGAGCACGGCTCGGCCTCCACCGACTTCTGCCTCAGCCCCGAGGGTGAGTGTGCCCTGCTGCCGGGGGCTCAGACTGGCCCGGCCCGGCCCCCGAGGGTGGGCGGCGGTCACCTTTCAGAGGCGGCAGCTCTCAGGACAGAGCAGCCCGTAGGCAGCTGCTTTCTCTTCTTTTTCTCCATCCAGTGTTGTCAGGATTCATCTCCAGAGAAGAAGGTGAAGGTAAGGGGCCCTCTGGGGGAGGAGGGGTGAGTCATCATCCTCACCCCTGCCACCTGCAGGGAAGACCTTCCTAGAAGGCTTGGAGTCTGCTCTGAATCTGCATGCTACTCCCCTTAGTCTCCTGGTTTAAGATATGGCTTGGGGAGGATGATGGAGGAGGAGCCCTATTTCGGACGACTGCAGGAGAAGAAGTGACTGTGCCCATGCCAGTCCTTGACCCAGGGAGGACTGGCCACTAGAGCATGCCTTACCCTGCCAGTTCCTCACCCGGAGTGTCTCACAGTGGCCTGTGACCCCGGCACTAGAGCCACACAGGGAACCTCCTAAAAATGCAGTTCCTTGGCTGTCCTCCAGTAACTATCTAGCGTCCAGGAAGGACCTAGGAGCCCTGCATTTTCAGCAGGCTCCTTGGTGATTGTGAAATACCCCCAAAATTTGGTAAGCATTTTAAAGGCTCAGCTATTAGGGCGAGGGTCTATACTGCCCCTGCAAGAATCATGCCAAGGCTCGGGACTTTGAAGGCAGCCCACGAGGGAAGGCTGTCTGGAGCTCCATTTGCTAACCTATGCCCGGCCCGGCCCCCGAGGATGGGCGGCGGTCACCTTTCAGAGGCGGCAGCTCTCAGGACAGAGCAGCCCGTAGGCAGCTGCTTTCTCTTCTTTTTCTCCATCCAGTGTTGTCAGGATTCATCTCCAGAGAAGAAGGTGAAGGTAAGGGGCCCTCTGGGGGAGGAGGGGTGAGTCATCATCCTCACCCCTGCCACCTGCAGGGAAGACCTTCCTAGAAGGCTTGGAGTCTGCTCTGAATCTGCATGCTACTCCCCTTAGTCTCCTGGTTTAAGATATGGCTTGGGGAGGATGATGGAGGAGGAGCCCTATTTCGGACGACTGCAGGAGAAGAAGTGACTGTGCCCATGCCAGTCCTTGACCCAGGGAGGACTGGCCACTAGAGCATGCCTTACCCTGCCAGTTCCTCACCCGGAGTGTCTCACAGTGGCCTGTGACCCCGGCACTAGAGCCACACAGGGAACCTCCTAAAAATGCAGTTCCTTGGCTGTCCTCCAGTAACTATCTAGCGTCCAGGAAGGACCTAGGAGCCCTGCATTTTCAGCAGGCTCCTTGGTGATTGTGAAATACCCCCAAAATTTGGTAAGCATTTTAAAGGCTCAGCTATTAGGGCGAGGGTCTATACTGCCCCTGCAAGAATCATGCCAAGGCTCGGGACTTTGAAGGCAGCCCACGAGGGAAGGCTGTCTGGAGCTCCATTTGCTAACCTATATCTTCATGCATCCCGCTAGTAATTTTTAAAAAAGTTTATGTATTTTCTTCTTCCATGAGTGAAAGAGAGAGAAAGACAGTGAGACAATACCCCAACAGAGTCTTCATGCCACAATCTACCCCGAGCTACAGCCAATCCTGGATCATGGGCACATGTGCACCCAGCGCATTCAGGGAAGTCTCCAGCCGTGAACCCAGAACCTTAGGAAGCTATGTCGGTCAGCCTCACAGGGTACTACTTTATTGAGGTGCCACTCTTTGACCTCCCAACGAACAGTGCCTTTTGTTCAGTTATCAAATAACATAATCTATATCAAATATAACCTCACACCTAAAACTTAATAATCGTTTTTTAACATCATGAACTGTCCACTCTCATTTCCCCAGCTCTCCCCCATGTTGGGTTATTTGAACTGGGAACCACTCATTCGTTTTGGCTGATCTATTTCTCACGTCTCTCTTAGTAGGTAATAGTTCTTTCTCCCTCACCTGTTGACATTTATTTGTCCAAGTCATTTGATGAGTAGAATTTCTTACACTTTAAAAGAATTATTTATTTTATTTTATGTATTCATTCATTTATTTTAATTTGACCAGAGAGAGACACAGAGCGAGAGAGAGAGGGAAAGTGAGATAGCAAGCCACCAGATCCAGGACTCGAACTGTGGTCAACCATGTGGGAGCGTCCAGCACCTTAACCGCCACGCCACCTACTGGCTCCAGAATTTCTTACATTTTGAATTTTGTTGATTATATCCCATTGAATGTGTCCCTTTATACATGTACATCTTCTACATCAATAATTGTTGGGTCATCGGAAAAAGTCATGACATACTTTTCTGTTATTCTGTGCAAAAAAAATGCATCATGACTTTTCCAACGACCCAATAGATTGAGAGGTTTGGTCATAGTCTGCTTTTTTTTTTTTTTTTTGGCCCCATGACTAGAAACTAGAAGCTTCTAGTTTTCTACATTTCTCCTGTTCCCCTTCAGTTGGAGAAGAAATTGAGATGACCCCGATGGTGTTTGCCAAGGGTCTGGCAGACTCAGGCTGCTGGGGAGACAAGCTCTTTGGGCGGCTGGTGAGCGAGGAGCTCCGGGGTACTGCCCACGGCTGCGGCCTTCGGAAGGCCTCCCAGGCCAAGGTCATCTACGGGCTAGAGCCCATCTTTGAGTCAGGCCGCACGTGCGTCATCAAGGTGTCCAGCCTTCTTGTCTTTGGGCCCAGCAGTGAGACGTCTCTCCTGGGCAGAAACTATGACGTCACCATCCAGGTATCGTGTCCCAACTTTGTGCCCTGTCCCTTTGTTCTCTCATACCCGTCCTCTTCCCAGGCTGATCCTGTAGGGAAGCCCACTACAGAGTCGGAGTCATTTTGGTCTCCACATTCTGGGGTTTCTAGGCTAGACCTGGAGGACTGTCTGAGCTGTACCCAGAATCTAGACACTTGGTCACAGGGAGCTTGACAGCTTCAAATCCATTCAAGCCATGGTTTTCAGACAACCTTTGCAGCACAAACCTTTCCCCCTGCCTCAGATGTAATCTCTGGTGGAAGCCTTATTTGTATGGGAGGTGAAAGGGGAGTGATGTGGCGGGTGGACAGACTCCCTGCTCTCTGCAAAGCTGCCCTGGGACACTGCCACCTATCACTCGGGCTCCAGGGGACATAGTTTAGAGACCACCTGGAGAACCTCATGTGGAAAGAGCAAAGCCTCTTGAAAGACACAAGAAAAAATAAAAAGAGGTGCAGAGTAGGGAGCAGGAAGGAGTCAGGCCCCCTCCCTCGGGGCTGGTCTCCCCCCTGGAGTCCCCTAGCTGATGGCTTTTCCACTCTGAGCTGGGCTCTAGGAAACCGGGGTGCCCCCTCACTGATCAGATCTTATTTCCTATAATCCGCAGGGGTGCAAGATCCAGAACATGAGTCGGGAGTACTGCAAAATCTTCGCAGCTGAAGCCCGCGCTGCACCTGGGTTTGGGGAGGTGCCTGAGTAAGTGCCAGGGAGGGACCTCAGTGCCGAGCTGCTGCAGAGCCTCATTTCTCAGCCTCCTGGAGGGTCCTGAGTTATGGCCAGGTGCAGACAGGCTCACTGCTAACTCCACACTCAGCTCAAAGGGCCCACAGAATCTAGAAATGAAGACCTCAAGATTCATTCCCCACTTTAGAAAGTCTCCTCTGTGGTCCTGCATCTCCTTCCCACCCACCCTAAGTCCCCGTCCTTTCGTCCCAGTTTTGCCGATTGCAGAGTCTGGGCACAGCAGATGTGTGTCTCTGTGCAGGTAAGGGTGTTCCTACGTGAGGCAGACTGGCCAGGATGCTTCCGTGCTAGGCAGGCTGGGCGAGCATGGATGTCTGCAGAGTCCTTTATAAATGGTGATCGTTTCATTTTGAGACTTGAACTGGAGCCCTGGTTTATTTGGGGTCTGACTGGCCCTGAGCCACAACCTGGCTGGATCCTCTCCAGAGGTGTTCCTTTCTCTTTGACACCCTGGCCTCCCTCAGTCCCTCACTCAAGCACGGAGTTCACCCATAACCATAGCCAGAGTCTGGTTCTAGTCCCACCAACCAGGGAGTAGACATGGCTCTGAAGACAGTGGCCTCTATGCCTTTCCGGAGGTGGGCCACAGCTGCCCTCCGGTGCCGTCCCTCAGGCTCAGAGCTGAAAGCTCCCTTTTTGGAAGGGCCCTTCCTTTAGACCCAAGAACAGACTTGGGTTGGAAGGAGGAGCTCTCTGGGGTCATGCCTCCTGCTCACTATAGGGGGCGTCTGTGTCTAGGATCATCCCGCTGTACCTGATCTACCGACCTGCCAACAACATCCCCTATGCTACGCTGGAGGAGGACCTGGGCAAACCCCTGGAGTCTTACTGTTCTCGGGAAGGGGGCTGTGCTGGGACTCCCGCTGCAGCCCACAACTCTGAGGCTGTGCAGAAATGCCAGACCTTCCAGCACTGGCTGTATCAGTGGACAAACGGCAGCTTTCTTGTCACAGATTTGGCAGGTATGAGGGCGTGAGGGTGCACAGGTGCATGGACGGGAAAGCACGGGGAGGGGGTGGAGCTTGTTTGATGGCCTACAGTACCACACCTTCATATCTATTTTCCTTAGCTTTTCACCACAATGTGTAAAGTAGATTGGACAGGGACCATTCTGCATGCAAACCCAACACATACCAGGGCCTCCTGAGCCCAGCCTATATCTGCAGTTGCTTTTAAAGGAGTGTAGACCAGGCCTGCTTAAACTCTAAAAGGACTTTCATTGCAAAGAACAGTACATGGCGGGCCCAGCAGGTGGCATGGTGGTTGAAGGTGCTGGATTCCCCCATGGCAGCTGGCGGTTTGAGTCCCGACCTGGTGGCTTGCTTTCTCACTTTCCCTTTCTCTGTCTCTCTCTGGTCAAAATCATAAATAAGAATAACAAATGTAATTAAATAAATAAGTTAAAAAAAAAAAAGAAAGAACAGTATATGGGATCTAATTTAAAACCCACAACCACCCTTTCCAACATCTCTCATCCTCCTTTCCCAGCAGCTTGGATCTAGACTTTTCCGTTCTCCAAACTTCTCAAGCTCTCTTCTATCCTAGCGTGAGAAGTTTTATTGTCATTCCTCTTCCTCCATCTTTGCTAGCTTTTTCTTAATTATTTTTTAGCTTTTTCTTAATTTTTAAAAATAATTATTTTATTTAACTTTATTTATTTATTTATTTGTTTATTTATTTATTTTAATTTGACCAGAGAGGGACAGTGAGAGAGAGAGAGAAGGAAAGTAAGAAAGCAAGCCACTAGGTCCAGTACTTGAACCACAGTCAGCCATGTGGGAGTCCAGTGCCCTTAGCCACCATGCCACCTGCTGGCCTCTTCTTAATTATTTAAAAATAATTATTAATTTATTTAATTCCATTAGTTGTTATTATTTTTAAATTTGACCAGAGAGAGACAGAAAGAGAGAGAAAAGGAAGGTGAAAAAGCTAGCCACCAGGTCCAGGACTCAGACTGTGGTTGGCCATCTGGAAGTCCAGCGCCTTAACCACCATGCCATCTGCTGGGCCCCTTTATTTTTTATTGCCAGAGGTCACATGTGCTCTGGAAAGAGAGAGAGAGAGTGAGAAAGCGAGAGAGAGGTTAAGAGAGAAATGGCTCTCCAGTGGAGCACAGTCACCGCAATCCCTTCTCCATCTCTCCATCTGGCAGGATTTGGGGCACTGCAATTGCCCAGCATGTTTCTCTCTCTTTTTTAAGAATTATTTTATTTATTTAATTTTATTTGCTATTATTTTTTAAAATGTGACCAGAGAGAGAGAGAAAAAGGGAAAGTAAGAAGTCAAGCTGCCAAGTCCAAGACTCAAACCATGGTTGGTGATGTGAGAGTCCATCGCCTTAACCACCACCTGCCAGCCCCAACTCGGCATGGTTTTCGAGCTGCTGGGACCAGGGTTAAAACTCTCGTTGGCCACGTGGGATCCAGCTCTCCATGCACAACTTTTCACTGCTGCACTAAAGGGCCAGCCCTCTTAGCTTTTTAGAATGGAAGCCAATTTTGTCTGACTCTTCAGTTTTCCTTATATACCCTCCATTTCCCAGAAACACCCTACAGGAAGGCCACCAAGCTTGAGTCCTTCTCCCTTCTCTGATCAGTCGCTGCAGGCCTACACTCTAACGGGCACTGGACAGGGAGAGGAAAATGCTGTCTACAGTGGGAGGAGAGGTTGCTGGGAGTTTCACACACTGTTCTATCTGTCCTTGAGGCACCTAAGTGAGAAGACCAAGGCCTAGAGATATAAAACTGACTTGGGAACAGCAGTTAGCATAATGGCTATGTCGCTGGACTCCCACATAGTCGACCGCAGTTCGAGTCCTGGACCCGGTGGCTTAAACTCACGCTGGGCGCGTGTGCGTGCATGCCCAAGATCCTGAGAGGAGAATGGAGGAGAAGGGATTGCGGCGTGGCCATCCCCCCTGGGGGGTGATTTCTCGCTTTCTGTCTCTCTGTCTCTCTCTGTCTGTCTGGCGAGTGCACATGCCCTATAGCAAAAACCTCTCAA